TCTTCCGGAGCTGCCTGGGGAACATGTCCACGGAGGCTGTCACCAGGCACTCCACACAGACAAACTGTGGGCCGGAGGGGGCTGGTAAGAGGGGCCTCTGCCTTCTCACTCCCCAACCCCACGCTGGCCCACAGAGCACAGCGGGCCCAGAACCGGGGTGAGGCCAAGCCTGCCTCAGCCTCGTCTCCACCACTGAAGGTGCCAGCCGCGAGGGTTCGCTGGGCGGGGCTGGGCGGCCCGAAGGTTTGGGAGGGCGTGTCCACATCTGCGCGCCGAAGGGTCGGGCCTGGGGGAGCAAAGCAGGCGGCCCCTCCCAGAAGAGGAGGCCGGGCGTCCCCCGACCAGCCTCAAGGACAGGCCCCGGATGCCGGGGCCAGGGCTGGGAAGTCCGGTCGGGGGACAGCGAGGTCGGGGAGGTTATGGCGGCGGACGCAGAAGCTAGTAAGGGGGTCGCAGGGCGGGCGGGGGCGGGGGCGAACCTGGCTGTCCAGCCCGAGGAAGATGAGCATGATGAAGAAGAGGCAGGACCACAGCTGGGACAGGGGCATCATGCTCACAGCCTTGGGGAAGGCAATGAACACCAGACCAGGGCCTGCCGGGCACACACGCCATCAGGGGCCCGCCCCTGGGTTCGCGCGCGTGCGCGCGCATGCGCGCGCGCCTGCGTGCGCGCGCTGGTTCCCGAGGGCGGCTGGCTCTTCTACTGCTCTGGGGAGCACGCTTTCCAGTCGTGCGCCCGTCCTCCCTTCCGTCCCCGTCTCCGTCCTCCCTCCCCTGGTTTTGGGGTTCTGCTCTGTGCCCAGCACGGCCGCCTGATGCTGAAAGGTTCCTACAGTACCCAGCTTCTGGGACCCCTGGCCCTCCTGTCCCCTGCCCCAGGCAGCGAAGCAGCACCCACCTGACTCGGCCACCTCAGAGATGGGCACCCCCTGCTCCTGGGACATGAAGCCCAGGATGGAGAAGACCACAAACCCGGCCACGAAGCTGGTGGCGCTGTTCAGGAAGCAGAGGGCGATGCTGTCCCTGCGGAAAACGGGAAGGAAAAGGGAGAAAGAAACCCATCGTGTGGGGACATCCAAAGACGGTGAGCGGTAAAGAGGAGAGAGGAAAGGAAGTGGGGGGAAGGAGCCCAAGACCAGGTACCAGAAGGTGAAGAGAAGAAAGGGAGGGAGAAAGACCAGGTCTGGAAAGGGGACCACAGTGTCGGTTTTGCACAGCTTCGGGCCCCTGCTCACAGCGGAGGAAGGCCCCTTCCCGGGACCCTGCGCCCCGCTCACCTGTAGCAGTTGTTGTGGTACTTGTTGTAGCTGCCCAGGGCCGTCAGGCACCCCTGGCAGATGGCGAAGGAGAAGAAAATCTGGGTGCCCGCGTCCATCCACACCTGCGGGAGACCCCGAGGAAGCGGTGGGAAGGTGGGCGGAGCCCGCCAGGGCCTGGAGCAGTGACCGCCCCTCACCTCCACAACCAGCGGCCCCTCCGTCCCCGCAGAGCGCACGTTACAGCCCGCGCCCACTAACGCATGCTCTTCCCCTGGGCGCTCAGCAGGCACCACGTAGGTGCTCGTGACTGTACCTTCTCGTTGGTTCACCACAGACGGTGAACCAGAGAAGGAGAGGCCTGTCTGCAGGGCGGAGCTGAGGCCCTGGCCGCCCTCAACCTGCAGGTGTCCCCAGGCAGCCATGTGGGCAGAAGCCACGGCCTTCAAATATAGAGAGAAGACACCAAGACTCCACCGGGGGCGGGGGAGTGGGAGGGGCAAAGAATGTGCTCAGACAAGTCCAGAGGGGGAAAATGTCCAACATCGCACTAGTAAAAAAAAAATGAAAATGGCAACATGCTACTACTTTGACCTATCAAAGGTTAAAATAAATTCTGCTTGAATCTCTCATGGGCCTACAGAAGGAAGGGTACCCACCAACACAGGCGGTCAAAGTCCACAGCACATGTCAAGAGCCTTAAAAGGTGCGTACTCCCTGACTTAGTAATCCCACTTCTACGTCTGACTACTGTCAGGAAATAATCAGAGATGTGGTCAAAGATTTAAACACAAGGTGTTCATCGCAGCTGTCTGTACAATCATAAAAAAAAAACAACAAAAATGACCTAAATGTACAGGAACGGGGAAGAACTGAGTAAAAGCCGACACCTGCCCCAGGTGTGGATGCCCAGAGGTCATATGTCCGGCTCTGTCCGCCCGCTGCCCACACCAGCTCTAGAGAGGTACCTGGACTTATGGGACCGCAGTACATCCTGGCTGGATGAGTGAGCGGATGGATGGGGGACGGAGGAAACATTATGCAAATGATAAAATGACATTTACAAATGGATTTAATAACAAGGAATATGCTTACACTATAATTTAAGTGAAAATATATTTATCTCCACGTATAATTATCTCAACTACATGAAAACACACACACACACACACACACACACACCAGCTAGAAAAAAAATTGGAAGGAAATATACTAAAATGCTGACAGAGGTTATAGCTGAGTGGTGGGGTTACGAGAGGTTTTTAGTTCCTTCTTCATAATTTTCTTCTATATTATCTACTTTTTCCTCCAGTGGGCACAGATTGCCTCTAAACAGTGAAAAGCAATCAAAGGTTTTCAAAAGTCCAGATCTGGTTTGGGGCGGGAGATGCCTGGGGAAACAGTCCCCAGTGAGGTTCCTACCTGGGGGTCCTTGAGCCGAAGCAAATCTGGTTTTAGGTAGTAGACGATGCCCTCGTAGGCTCCGGGCAGGGTGATGCCTCGGATCAGTAGGATGAGCAGCATCAGGTAGGGGAACGTAGCTGTGAAGTAGACAACCTGGGGCGAGAAGACCAAGGTCACCCTTCCCCAGGCAGCTCGAGCCGCCTCGGAGGGGCGCTGAGCGCAGGAGACCTCCCACCCCTTCATTTACACATTCTGGGGTGTCTGGGGCTCCCCAGCAGAGGATGAGACACACATCAGCGGGGCAAAGGGACAGGAGGAAGGACAGGGAGGGGTATGAGTTTCCACCCGTAACATTTCAAGAACTCTTTTTTTTTTTTTTTGCGGTACGCGGGCCTCTCACTGCCGTGGCCTCTCCCGTCGCGGAGCACAGGCTCCGGACGCGCAGGCTCAGCGGCCATGGCTTACGGGCCCAGCCGCTGCGCGGCATGTGGGATCTTCCCGGACCGGGGCACGGACCCGCGTCCCCTGCATCGGCAGGCGGACTCTCAACCACTGCGCCACCAGGGAAGCCCTCGAGAACTCTTTTTGAATCCAGATTCTGGTCTCTCTTAATCCCTTATCCTGGCTGTTCGCCCGCCCCGTGCCCCCTGAAGAGGGTGGGACTCCCCTGCCCAGGGGGAAGGTGAGCAGATCTGTACAGTGATCAATGGGGAAATTTAGACAACTTTTCCAGGCTTAAGGTTGGGGGAGCAGCAGTGGCCTGAGCTCCGGGGGACGGGAGACACACGGGGGGCTCCACTCTGCCCCTTCCCCGAGAGGGCGGCACTGTCCGTGTCATTATTACTATTACTATTTTTATGTTATCGTTATTACAACAATCCGTGGAAGAGGGAGGCTGCTTTGGGAGGGGGCTAATCAGAGAAGGTGGGACCCTGTCTGTTCCCGGCTGTAACAAGCGTGGAGCATCAATGTCAGACTCCCTGGGTTGGAAATGATGCTCCAGTGTGAACTCTGTACACACAACAGGCCACTTTGTCCATGCTCAGCTTGAGCTCCTTCAGAGGTTGGAAACCCACCACCTCAAAGACTGGCCTGTTTGCCCCTTCATCCTAGATGTGATCTTGGTGTGTTGTTAAACGAGACAAGCACGTCATACAAGTGTGTGATCCTGACTGTGCGATATTCACACAGCACACACACACACGCGCGCGCGCGTATAAGGGAAGCTAGAAGCCGACCAGCAAAACTCTGACAGGGATGAGCAGACACCCCTCCAGACCTCTGGTGGCTCAGCTCTGACACCGGGACTTTCATGGTTCTTATTCTGCTCTGCATGTCACTTACGTAAAGTGAAAGTCATACCGAAAAGGAAAGCCTTCCCTTGTGTTGAGCTAAACCCTGCCTTCCCGCGATGTCCCCTGTTCTCAGCAGGCCTCTCGCTTTCACTGCTTTCTCTTTCAGGTCTCCAGAGGGATGCCATGTGTGTCCCCGTGGACCCTGGGGGCCACAGAGAGCGGTCCCGGAGCCAGAACCCCTCACCTTGCCCGTGGACTTGACCCCCTTCCAGATACAGAAGTAGCAGACGACCCAGGCAAGCAGGAGGCACAGGGCCAGCTCCCAGCGCAGGGCCCCCAGGTCGTGGATGCCGGAGCTGATGCCCAGAACACGTCTCCTGCGGACGGGGAGACACACAACCAGGTGAGGCCGAGGGGACGGTGGCCTCCGCCATCAGGTGTCCTCATCCTCAGAGCTGACCCCACGGGTCTCAGAGTCTACGCCTCCCTGCCCCCACCCCTCCCCTGCCCCATGGCCAGCACGTTCCCACCTGTGGTCTCTAAGCCCCTGGCTGTTAGACGACCACGTAATCCCATAGGTATCTGTCTAACTCATCCAGCTTTCTCTGTTGTTGGAGAGATAGAGGCAGAGAGTGAGGGCAGTAAGCGTCTGAGCGAGCTCGAGCCCGTGGGGAGCAGAGACCCTTACAGGCAGTTGATGAGCAGGTGCTGGGGAAGCAGACAGAGGGGCTGGATGTGCGTCAGCATCTGAAGAGTGACTGGGGTGATGGGAACATGTGTGTGCCGGGGTCGGTGGGCATGAGGGCGGCGTGGATGCCGGGCGGGCGCCCCGGGGAGAGTGTCAGTGAGTACGTGTGGGCCAAGGTAAGTGTGAGGGCGGGTAGCCTTGTATAAGCGCAAGGGTGGATACGTGTGGACGCTGGGGTGCAAGTGCTCGTGTGGAGGGTGCGGGTGTGAGTGTAGAAATTTGCCAGTTCCTGTGGTGTAAATACTCCCACTTCGGCCAATTTCAAGCCACCACCAGGACATCAGGGCACACGGAGCTGGTGCAGACTCTTCCCAGCTCACGCTGGCCGTCGGCTGTGGCTGTCTACGTGCAGGTGGGCATGTGGGTGCGGGTGGGTGATGGTAAGAAGGCATGTGGGCGATGCAAGTCACGTGGATGCGTGTGTGAGTCCAGGTGGACACAGGTGGATGCGGGGCGAGCGTGAGGGTGTGGACGGTAGGTGTGGAGGGTCCCTCATCTCCTAGTGACGTGAGTGCTGGAAAGCATGCACAGAGATGTGTACACCTGCACCCCCAATCCCGCACCCCAGACATCCAGATTCTCTCTGCCTGGGGCCCCCGGGAGGTGGCCTCCAGGCCGGGCACCTACTCCCAAAATTCCATGACGGGGGAGGTGAAGTTCACGGGCGGGGCCGCTGCGCCAGCTGCCGAGTGGTTCAGGAAGTCCATGCAGTGCTCTGCCGGGGACAAGAGGGGCGTCAGCAGCGGGCCAGGCGGGCAGAGGCGCCCTCACACCCCGTCCGCCCCCCTCTGGCCTCGCATTCCCGGTCCCCAGAGCTTCCTCTGGAGCCCCCGCTTTCCAGCATCAGGAGTTCCTGCTCGGCTGGTTCGTGTGACCAGCCCCCGTCCCTGTGTGCCTCACACTGCTCTCGTCCTTGTGAATCTGGCTGCTCCTCTGGCCATGCTGCCAGCCACCTCTGACCCTGTCCAGACCTCAGGCCAGGCCCCCATGCCCACGTGTGCACCTCACTCCCCAGCGATGGGGGGATGGGCTTGCAGGACGGCCCCGCCGGGAGTGGTCCCCACGCAGGCCCCTTCCCATCCTTCTGTGGTCACCCATCGAAATCTGCCACTGCTCTGTCCGCTTGTCTGTTCCCAGTGCTTGACTGTCCCCGGTGCGGGCTAGGCTGAATCACCCGGGCCCACCGCTGGGTCTTGAGGGTCTGGCACACAGTAGGCCCGCAGTGAACACTGGCTCGGTGGGTGGACGTTGGGGGGTGTTAGTGCCTGGCAGCCGCTTGTCACCCACCGTCCCACCGGGTTGTTGGCTGTCCTGGCGGCTGGTTGGAGGTCCCACACGGGGTCGGCCAGCAGAGTGGCCACCTGTGCCCGCCCAGCTCGGCTTGGGGGCTCCATCACGGCTCGCCTGGCCCCGGCTGGCCCGTCCCAGGGCCGACACGACAAGTACCTGTGTTCCAGGCGTGGGTGCAGGCGGTCCAGGGCAGCTCGGAGGTAAAGGAGCTGAAGAGGTAGAATAGGGCCCAGGAGAGGACGATGACGTAGTAGACGTTCAGATAGGCCTCGATGACCACAGACGCCAGGCCAATGCCTGGGGGGGGCGGAACAAGGGGGTCCCAGAGACCAGCGTCAGCCTCGACGACCACTGACGCCAGGCCAATGCCTTGGGGGGGGAACAAGGGGGTCCCAGAGACCAGCGTCAGCCTCGACGACCACAGATGTCAGGCCAATGCCTGGGGTGGGGGAACAAGGGGGTCCCAGAGACCAGCGTCAGCCTCGACGACCACAGACGCCAGGCCAATGCCTGGGGGGTGGGGAACAAGGGGGTCCCAGAGACCAGCGTCAGCCTCGACGACCACAGACGCCAGGCCAATGCCTGGGGGGTGGGGAACAAGGGGGTCCCAGAGACCAGCGTCAGCCTCGACGACCACAGACGCCAGGCCAATGCCTGGGCAGGGGGGAACAAGGGGGTCCCAGAGACCAGCGTCAGCCTGGGAGCCGCCCACCGTGCCGGAGGGACAGGGGCCACAGAGACACCGCGGGGCTCATTCACAGGCCTGAGAGGCCCTTTACTCCTTATCTTCCTAAGTAAGAAAAGCAGGTGACAGAACACCACCCTAGGCATTCTCCCAGTTTTATGATATATATCTGAACGTATTTTTTTTTTCATGAGACAATCTCTGGAAGGAGCATCATCCAGAGGTTAACAGGTGGTTCTCTGGGTGACAGATTTCAGTTCACTTTTAAAAGTTCTTTTCTTTTTCTGGTTTTTCTAGTTTTTCTGTGACAGTCATGCATCACTTGTGAAGTCGCAAGGGACAGGAGGAACAGAGGCAGGAGGTTCCTGAGTTCGGGTCTCACTAGGCATCCGAGCCTCTGGGGGGGTGGAGGGAACCCACGCGTGTGTGGGCATCAGGCAAGGACCCGGGCAGCCTCGGTGGGGTTGTGGACCCCAGGGAGCAAGCCGAGGACAGACTCCACGTGGACCACACACAGCCCACACGGACCCCAAGGATCCGAGAAAATCATCCCAGAGACCCCACAGGGTCCCCATTCTGATCCCACAGGGACCCCCCAAATCACCACATGGGCCCCCAAGGACCCCACAAAACCATCTGACGCCCCAAGAGGGATAAGCACCAGACGAGCCGTGCCCCGCCGCCCAGCCCCTGGTCAGGCTCCCAGTCTGCTCAGGAGCCAGGGTGGTTCCACCATGTCCACGCCGTCCAGCGGAGGCTTGGCGGCCCCCAGACAGCCCTGTCCTGGGCCGGCCCCTTAGGGCCTGGCGTCCGAGGCAGAGTCCTCCCTCCCCCGCAACCATGCGAGGAGCCGCTCAGGGACCAGGAGGCCCCTGGGTTTTCCACTGGCCGCCAGGGCGCCATCAGCTGAACAGAGGGTGGAAGAGGACATCCCCACTGCTCACATCGGTGCCAGCAGATCCCCAGAGGGAGGGCAGGGGCTGGGACCAGCTTAGTCCCTAACACAGGACACAGCACAAACCCACGGAGACCTGGGTTAGTGAATGGCCTCATTTTCTCATCTTACGAGGGTGATGCAGACGCTACTGGAGGGTTAGGTGAGGATGCAAACGCGTGTGGCGTGCTGACGTGAGCCCTGGCACATCATCACCATCATCACCATCATCACCATGATTATACCCCGCGGAGGCGTGTCTGGGACCAGGCCACACGCTCGGGAGCACATCTCCCGTGAAGCTGTGAAGCCTCAGCTTCAGGGTTCCTCACTTGCAAGGGCCCCTCCCCAAACTCTGCACCTAATGTTGTGCCCAGTTATAATTTTGTGTCCTCCTTCCTGGAGACTGCTTCCACCCAGGTTCTAGAAGCTTCGGGCCCCAGGAGGCCCGGTGGCATGTCCTGGCTCCTCTGCAGCCCTCAGCACAGGGTGGATGAGGGAAGCGGGGAGGGCGGTGGCCGGGGAGGTGCAGCTGGGATGCACTCACCCTGGAGGAGTGGGCAGATCTTCCTCCAGGCCGTGACGCTGCCCCGGCTGGTGTACTGGCCCAGCGCCACCTCCAGGAAGAACACCGGGATGCCGCAGGTGAAGAGGAAGATGGAATAGGGGAAGAAGAAGGCTCCTGCCGGGGGTGGGGGGGGGGGCGCTGAGCTGGCGGCCGAGCCCCCAGCCGCCCCCCGCAACCCCCGGGGGCCCAAGACAGCAGCGTCCTCCTGTCTGTGAGCAGGGCCCGGTGGAAAGTTTCCAGTGGGCGCCCCACCCGGCATAGGAAAGACCTCGGAAGGGAAATGAATGATAATGGAGATGGAGATCCTAATACATGCCCTACATGTTTTCTCAGCGCGCTTCACAAATCTAGTCCATTTATTCTTTTTGGAACTGAAAACGTGTTCAGTATAATCTGATATGCTTATTAAATCATCAAGTTTGTTACGTTTTCGAGAAAAACAAAAACAAACAAAAACACCTTGGGAAAATGATTTTCCCTGTAGGCATTTTCAGAGGGTATTTTCCCTCCCTCAGGCTCTGGTCTGAACTGGCCCCCCCCCCCCCCCCCCGCCGCGGGCGCCCCACCCGGCATAGGAAAGACCTCGGAAGGGAAATGAATGATAATGGAGATGGAGATCCTAATACATGCCCTACATGTTTTCTCAGCGCGCTTCACAAATCTAGTCCATTTATTCTTTTTGGAACTGAAAACGTGTTCAGTATAATCTGATATGCTTATTAAATCATCAAGTTTGTTACGTTTTCGAGAAAAACAAAAACAAACAAAAACACCTTGGGAAAATGATTTTCCCTGTAGGCATTTTCAGAGGGTATTTTCCCTCCCTCAGGCTCTGGTCTGAACTGGCCCCCCCCCCCACACTGCAGACAAGGCCACTCCTCTGCTAGGGGAAATTCTCAGGGGGGACGTGGCTTCAGCAGCCTCGTGAGAGGCTAGCCAGAGGGCAGACCTAAAGGCACCCAGCAAATTACAGCCCAGGGCGCCCACCTCCATCTCCTCGGAAGCGTGTACCTGGGTGAACACAGATTATTGTTCATCGCCCAGTCATAACGCTTGGCACTTGGTGCTTCTGTGTGTGAGGCCCTCTTCTAAATCCTTCACTAACATCAAAACCCACACAAAGCAGCCTCCCAGGCCACGGGTACTGGTGTCATCTCCATCTTACAGATGAGGAAACCAAGGCACAAACCCAGGTGGTCTGACACTGAGTCTGGGCTCTTAACCACAACGTGATAATGCCTCTCAAGCAATGCATGTTACTCTGTAGAAAAACAGAAAGTACAAAGGGAAGGAAAGGAGAAAGCATTGTATATCCTTCCAATTTTCTGACAAACACATACATATATATTTCCTTCTTTGCAAAAATGAGAACCTACTATGCGTGACTTGATAACCATTTTAAAAATGTATATCATGGACCTCTTTTCATATCAATAAATCCGTATCTGCGTCGCCACTTTAATGGCTGTGTGGCTCCGTCTTACGCAGAGTTTCTTTGGTCAGAACCCCGCTGGCCTTTCTGGTCATCCTCCTCCTGCGGTGAGGACCGTTGCCCACATTCTCGTGCACTTGTCTACCCTGCTCCTTAGCTTAAACTTCCAGCAGAGAAACTGCTGAGTCAGAGGGCAAGAGAAATGGACCTTTTTTTTTTTTTGCTTTTTCTGTCGTAAAATGTACATAACATAACTTTTACTATTTTAACCATTTTTAAGTGTACAGCTCAGCAGCATTCAGTTCATTCACACTGTTGTGCAACCATCGCCACCATCTGTCTCTAGAGTTTTCTCATCCTCCCAAACTGAAACTCTGTCCCCTTTCAACACTCACTCCCCCTCCCCGTCCCCCAGCCGGGCACCCACCCTTCCTCTTTCTGTCTCTACAAACTTGATCATTCTAGGCACCTGATGGAAGGGGAATCCTACAGTATTTATTCTTTCGTGACTGACTTATTTAGCATAATGTCTTCAAGTTTCATCCATGTTGCAGCATGTATCAGAATTTCCTTCCTTTCCGAGGCTAAATGACGATCCAGTGTCAGTATGGGTCACATTTTGTTTATCCATTCATCCACTGATGGACGTTTGGGTTGTTTCCACCTTCTCAGAATAAACTTTTTTTTTTTTTGGCCATGCCTCGAGGCATGAGGGATCTTAGTTCCCCGACCAGGGATGGAATCCGGGCCCATGGCAGTGGAAGCGCTGCAGAGTCCTAACAACTGGACCTCCAGGGAAGTCCCGGGGATGAACATTTTTAAGGTCTTCGACCGGCATTTCCAAATTGCCCCCCCAAACTCTTGTACCATCTGCCCTCCAAGTAGCAGCATGTGAGAGTAAAGAAGGATTGGTGAGTCTTCCTGGGCCTGCTGCTGCCGACCAGCTCCGTGGTCCCAGGCAAGTGGCTGAGGTCTCTGGGCCCCTGTCCTCCTCTGTGGAACAAGGGCTCTGACGAGATCATCTTTGGTCATAGCCACCTCTGTGTCCGTGACACTGCGGCCAGGGCAAGAATAAGCCACCACATCCTCCCCCAGCGTTAGTTCTCACCCCAGCCCTGGCCTGCCCGTGAAGTCCCATTTCTGTTTCTTTGGAGTCATTGGTTTAGGCAATTTGCAGTAAGAACTATAAGTTTTAAAACAGAGAGCAAGGGACTTCCCTGGTGGTCAGTGGTTAACACTTTGCCTTCCGATGCAGGGGGTGCAGGTTCGATCCCTGGTCCGGGAACTAAGATCCCACATGCCTTGTGGCCAAACAACCAAAACATAAAATAAAAGAAGCAATATCGTAACAAATTCAATAAAGACTTTAAAAAAATGGTCCACATCAAATAAATGAATAAAAGGGGCTTCCCTGGTGGCACAGTGGTTAAGAATCCGCCTGCCAATGCAGGGGACACGGGTTCGAGCCCTGGTCCGGGAAGATCCCACATGCCGCGGAGCAACTAAGCCCGTGCACCACACTACTGAGCCTGCGCTCTAGGGCCTGCGAGCCACAACTACTGAGCCCACGTGCTGCAACTACTGAAGCCCGTGCACCTAGAGCCCGTGCTCTGCAACGAGAGAAGCCACCTCAATGAGAAGCCCGCGCACCGCAACGAAGAGTAGCCCCCGCTCGCCGCAACTAGAGAAAGCCCATGCATGGCAACGAAGACCCAACGCAGCTGAAAATAAAATACATAAATAAATTTTTAAAAAAGTAAATAAAATAAAACAGAGAGCAAGACATGTGGTAGATGTTCACTAAATATTTGTCAAATTAAATAGAAACAGTGTTTAGAAGGATTTTCTAAACAGTGGTTATTTTTAAACAGGAATGTTCCTTCTTTTTTACCTTTCTGGAATGTTTCTAATATTCACATATATCATTTCCACAAGAGGAATACAGTTATTTTCAAAAGGCAAAAATGAATCTGGCCAGTCACACATAAACTCATCTAAATGAATTATTCCATTTATGTGAAATATTCCAAATAGGTTAAATCCACAGCCACAGGAAGTGGGTGAGTGGTTGCCAAGGGCTGATGGGGAGAGGGCTCGGGGGTGACTTCTAACAGGTACAGGGCTTCTCTGGGGGGTGATGGAAATTTTCTAGAATCAGTCGTGGTAATGGTTGCACAAGTCTGCGAACATATTAAAACCACTTAATTGTACACTTACAAAGGTGACTCTGATCCCTCCCCACCGTGCCCCTGCTCATTTTTACTACCAGCGCTGAAAAATATAAAATTGTTTCTTGAATTAAAAAAAAAAAATCATAGACAAGATAATGTCATTTCTTTGATCAACATTCCTCAGTGGCTCCCATGTCACTCAGAGCAGGGCCCGGAGGGGCCGAGCCCCGACCTCTGGCTCCTCTCCCGCCTGTCATTCCGCCCTTGCCATCCCCTGCGTTTGGAATGTTCTTCACTTGAACTGCATCCTTGAGACTGGCTCCTTCACCTCCTTCAAGTCTGGGCTCAAAGGCCACCTCCCGGACGGACCCTTTCCTGGTCCCCTCGCTTCCCATCTCACGCCCCTCCCCGCCCCTCCTCCCTGCTCTGCTTCTGGGCCCGTCCGCTCCCCACCATGTGACAGACCACAGTGGACGTATTTGTCTGTGGTCTGCTGCCCTTTGCTGGAGTGTAACCCAGAGTGTGTTGTGCTTTGTATCTAGCACGGTGCCTGGCAAGGGTGGCCCAGAGTGTGAGCTGAGAGGAGCTCACCGTGAGGAAGCATCCCCATTTCACAGCGGGGGGATGCTGGAGTCAAGCTCCCTGCCAGCCTCCCTCCACTGCCCAGGCAGGAGGTGCCCAGGTGGGCACTGCTCTCCCCACCTCAGAGTGAACTCACCTCCCCCGTTTTTGTAGCAGAGGTAGGGAAACCTCCAGACGTTGCCCAGCCCGATAATCTCCCCGGCCACGGACAGCACGAACTCCATCTTGTTGCTCCACTGGCCCCGATCCTTCACCTGGTCCTTGCCTTCCTGGTCCAACCTCTCTCCCTCCTCAGGGACCCAGGAGACCACAGAAGGCCCATCCTTGGGAACTGCCACTTTTCTGTCGTCTGCAGCCATGGACGGGCTGGGAGGCCACAGATGGGAGTGGGCAGGACGGCAGGAGAGGCGCGGCCTGCGGGGACAAGAAGGAATGAGCTGGGCAGCCCCAAGGACGCCCATCACCCCCGCTCTCTCCATCCTAACCTTTCATTATTGCTGGAATGCTGTCGAATAGTGTCAGACTGTTGATTTTCCTCCCAAATTCTTGATATTTACACCTAAAGTTACACTTTGCTCTCACAGCTCTGAGAACAAACAGGGAGCAGTTTGTTCTTAGTTTGCCCATTTTGCAGATGGAAAAATCCAGGCCTTGACAGGTGAATTGACTTGCCTGAGACCATTCAGGACTAGATCGGGATTGAAACCCAAGCTCGGGGACTCTTATTCCAAGTCTCTTCTGATCTTCACAGCCAGCTGCCGCCCCCGCTGGCCCTTCTGCCTGGCTGCTCAGTGTCAGTGGGTGTCACCCGCCCAGGCTCCGGCCTCCAGGCCAGAAGGGATCAAAGGCTGTCGGGGGTAACAGGAGGTCAAAGGGCAGGTGTGGCCCGGTAACTGCATGGTATTCCCTGGGCCAGCTGTGTGCTCGTAGCTATGCCAGCGTGATCGATTGCCTCTGGGTAAACATGGGAGCCAGCTAACTCCGGGCATCTGATTGGGAGGGCAGAGGAGGGTGGGGCACAAGGCCAGGTCGGGACAGGAGCGGCCTTCGAGGGGACCCTGGTTCTTGATCCTCTGTCCTGAGAGCAGGCGGGGGTTCTGGTGGCAGAAGTGGCCACCAGAGGGACCCTCACTTGGGCGCTCACCTCCGGATCCGAGCGGTCCCCTCAAGGGAGACCCAGAAGTGACTGCTCATCACGGCAGGTCACTGCCCTTCCCAACTCCCTGCCCTCCTTAAGAGCAGCCACTCTCTGCTCTACCCTGTCCCTCTCGCGGGCTGTTTATCTGCTGCCAGGAGATAGACTGATGCGTGCTTTAACCAGAATCATTGCTGGCCTTCCCTCCCCACACTCCGCCACCTCCACTCTTGTTTCTGCCAGGAAGACGTGCCGGGCTGCTGAAGGATCCTCTCTCCCAGGCCCCCCGCCTCTGCCTCCAAGGGGCAGTGGGGAACCAAAGTGACCAGGAGCTACCAAGGGCTCTGCTCCTCCAAGTTTCTAGAGAAACACAAGGGATTCTTTTTATTAAAAGAAGAGTCTGTGTTTACTTGTTAGTCCTTTTAACCCAGGCAACAACCCAAGCCCAAGTCAGTTAGAAAGGTGTGGCAGGGCCATCTGAGGTTATGGAAATTTTTGAAGGTGACTTGGAGGGTGCAGGTTATCCCAGGAATGGGAAAGAATGTCGGGGTGAAACTCTGATACTGGGACCTACTCGGAGGCTTCCGTGGCAAGGTCAGCCCAGGAGGGAAGGCAAGGAGAGAGGCACCCCGTGGAATCAAAGGCCTCACCCTCTGATATAAAGGAAGGGGCGGGGGAAGAAGGGAAGGAAAGAGAGCTCCAGGTTCAGAGAGATCAGCCACACCCCAGGGGCTTTGAGAACCAAGCCTCAGGTGGAAAGAACAGGGCGGTTTGGCCCCTGGGGACACCTGAACCAACTGTGGATATTGCTACAGAATTGCGGCTGGGGGGACTCTGAGGACTGGCCCCTGAATCATTATCCAATGAATGAATGGACTCAAAAACATGGATGAGGAAGCATTAAACAGGAGACCCAAGGTCTGGTCCAGACCTGGCTAGTAAGAGTAGAAATTAACGGGGGACTTCCCTGGTGGTCCAGAGGTTAAGACTCCGCGCTTCCACCGCAGGGGGCACAGGTTCGATCCCCGGCTGGGGAGCTAAGATCCCGCATGCTGCACAGCACGGCCAAAAAACCCCAAACAATAACAATAACAACAACAACAAAAAAAACTTGACTCCATTTCTTGTCCAACACCTGTTCCCCTCAAGATTGAGGGGTATCAGAGAAAAGGGAGGACTGAAACAGCATACCAGCCCCTGTGTCCCTGTCCTTTGAAGTAAAGGGCTTAAAAAAAAAAAACAGAAGTTGACATTTGAGTCAGCACTGTGCTGAAAACAAACACATCCTTACATGCATTATTAAGTTTCATCTTCATAAAAATATTTGAAGAATTACTATTAACTCCATTTTATAAATGAGGAAATGAAGCTCAGAGAGATTAAGGAACAGGCCCTGACACCCCCAGGTGCTCAGTAAACTATTTTTGAATGGTTTGAACAAACTTACCAGTACAGTAACTGGGGAGCTGAGTGGCCACGTTGCTGTGTGACCTTAGGCAAATCACACCTCCTCTCTGGGCTTTAAGTCTCCCTGAAAGAGAGAATGACCCCTACTCAACCGTGGTGTTGGGAGGGCAGGGTATACGCATGAGATCCATAAAAGACAAGGAGAGATACTGCCTTTGCTCGCCAAGCCATCACGTAGCCCAGCTCGGGGCCTGAGCATAGGGTCACCAACGGGGTGGCCAGGAGACAAGCCTCACTGTCCCCAGACCAGAGGCAGCTGTTTCAGGGCCAAGTTGTCCTCAACAGCTGGAGGTGGGGAGACCCGCCTGGAAAAGGAGTAAATGAAGGGAAAGCCAGAGGGGAGCACAGGCTGAGGAAGCAAAGCCCAGAGCCCAGGGTGGGCGCAGGATTTGGGAGAAGAGAACACAGATGAGCTGACCTTCACGTGACAAGTTTGTTCTTTTTCAAAAAGGCTGTTGAGAGGAGCATGATTTATGGGTAAGAGTGAAAAACCGGAATGGCAGAATGAAAGCAAGAGCATGTGAAAAGGAAAGCTGGCCCAGGGCCATGGCAAGTCAAGGGGAAACAGGCTTACCTTGCAGCAAGCGGGACTCAAGTTAGACTCAAGGAAGAACTTTCCAGGAGGACGTTAGACATAAAAGCTGTACTGAGCTCTCCTTTGGGGGGTTAAAGGCCAAAGGACAGCACCCCACCCTCCTGCCCCCCTCTACTGTGCCCTTCTACCCCCGGCCCGTTTGCCAGGAATACTTAAACACAGTGTTATCCTCAGTCACGATGACTTTCAGAAGTCTCCACCGTCCCGAGGGTTCATGCCAGCTCTCTCACCTCTCCAAGCCCTAGCACCAGCTGCTCTGCTGCCCATCTGCTCTGCTAAGCTGGGGCAGGGTGTGGGGCGGCCTGGACCTCACCACACGCCTGTGCTCTCCAGAAGCAGAGACACTCGCACCCATGCCGGGCTCAGGGCCGCCCACGAAGGAAACCTTCAGGAGGCTGACGAGCCCCCAATTCACTGTTTTCAGGGGCTGGGCAGGTAGGCAGAGGAGCGGACACAGGTGGAAATGCTGCTGCCCTCCACGCGCCCCCGGGGGCAGCGGCCCAGGCCCTGGACGTCCCAGCCCCACTTCACCCCACACCCACATACCAGCTCCCCGTTCAGCACACACGCTGTTGCCGCTCCCGTCACGTCCCCTTGCACACACATACCTGTGTGCACGGCACCAAAACATGACCCCCGTCGAGCCCTTCACACCCCCGTGGGCCGCCCGCACCCCCGATGCCCCCCGGGGCACAGGCCGCCCTGCCGTCCACACCCCTGTGTGGAGCCCGCGGGGAGGCTGACGGGTCTGGCCCCTCTGCTGGCCGCTTCCTTCCCAGGTGCAGGGCGCCGTCTGTCTCCCCCTCCTCTCGCTCTCTGGCCCGGGGTCGCTCCTCTCTGCCCGGCTCCCTGGAGCCACAGCCCCCGCCCCGTCTCAGGACTTTCCTGCCGCCGGACTTGTCCCTGAGCAGCTCAGATGCTGCGGAGGAGCTGGGGTGACCCCCTTGTCCTAAGATTCCCCAACACCAGACTTCCCTCTGGCCCCGCTCACGGCACAGACACACGCTGCCACCCAGTCCCCCTCCCAGGTGTCGCCCCACCCACCCACCTCGCACCCTCTGCGAGGAGCTCACCTCCTCCCGTCTGGCTCCCCGGGTCCCGGGAGCCTCGCGGCCCCAACAGAGTCCCAGAGAAGCCGCTGCGAGACCCGACCTGAAAGGGAAACTGTCCCCCACCTTCGCTCCTTCTCTGCCTCCCAGCTCAGAATCCCATCCAGTCGTGGTCCTGGGACCCCCCAGACAGAAAGCGACTCTGTGTGTGTGTGTGTGTGTGTGTGTGTGTGTGTGTGTGTGCGCGCGCGCGCACACTCGAGTGTGAGCTGGTGTACTGGGAAGTGGAGGGGCAGAAAATACCACAGCAGCAGGAGGGACTGAGGCCAAAAGTTTGTGAGCCAGGATTACAACACCCAAGCTCAGGAAGTCGAGTCCTCTGTCCCCAGCCCCTCCCCACCTCCCTCCCAGCCAGAGCTCCCCCACGGGCAGGCGCGGTCCCAAGACGACCCCCCAGAGCTGGGCTCGGAGACTCACACCCACCTGTCTTCCCGCCTTTGCCCCTTGTCCCTCCCCCCGCCTCACCGTGCCCCCTCTGGCGCTGGCTCCTTCTCTTCCGGTGGGCACAGCCCTCTCTCACCGGGGCGGTAGGATGGGCACCCCCAACAGCCAGGCTGGAAGCTGAGGTCTCGGGAGGGGAACTGGCCTCGCTGACGAGGGGATGGGAGGAGGTGAATCACTGCTGGACTTTTCCACCAAGTACCTGCCCTCTGTGGTTTCAAAGCAAGACTCTGGACCTTCACAGCCACAACCCTTTTCCTTGGGATTTTCCTAGAGAACGTGCCAGAGCACACCTCAAGAACCTAGAAAGGACCCAGGTTTGCAGGTAGACAGACCTGGGTTTGACGCCCTCCTTTGTCCGTCAGCCAGGCAAGCATCTGAGCCTCTGTTTACCGACCCGTCAAGGATGCGTGACACCACCTACTTCAGAGAGTTGCTGGGAGGGCAAAAGGCAATCTGGGAGACTGCTTAGGGTGTTGTCGGTGCTTCAGGGCACTTGGTGATGTCTGCGGAAGGGTGGTCTGGAAGCAGGGGCTGGGATGCTGGAGTGTCCCAGGCAGCAGTGACGATGCTCTGGGGGCCTCTGGGCACTAAGCACACAGCTGGGACTTG